AAAAGTTTAATTGCGACAGTCCTAATAGGCGTTAAGATAACATTGCGTCTGTCGAATCAAAACTATACTTATTGAATCAGTCGTTTAAATGAGAAGGTGGCTGTATTGGAGGGTTGTTCTAAGGAACGTAGTATTTTTCAGAAATTAATTATTAATTCAATCAATTATATCTCTCAATCAATTAGGGTTTTCGTAATTTTTTGTCGGGTAAATGCACTGTCAAATTTATGAGTCGTCAGGCAAACAAACGTGTCTAGCAAACGTACCTGTTCTGAAAACAAGCTGTCTGGCAAACGTATCTGTCGGGAAAATGATCTGTTTACCTATCGTAACTATTGAGAAAATAAGTTATCAGAGGAACGGAGTTGGGTAATCGAATGTCGGGAAAAATGTACAGACCCTTAGAAACCAACACCATTTTCAGCTTAGAATAAATGTTCACTGATATTTAGAGATTATCAGAAATTCCAAGTAAAAAATTGTTTTTTTTTTATGCTTTATTGAGATAAAGAAAATCTGTTTGAATGATTTGTGAATAAAAAGGAAACATTACACCATTTTCAATTTGAATGAATTGGAAGCTACAAACTTTAAAAATATTTGCAAAAGTGAATCAATGCAAAGTGAAAGTGAACACCTTGTAAGATGTATAAAGAAGTTCGATCAAAATAAAATTTGAAGTATTTACGGAGATTTCATCAGCAATGTAGATATTTTGTATAAAATACTGTTCTTTTTAACAGCAAGTCTTATTATTCTACAAAATTCCAATTGAATGTAAAAATAAATTTTTCTCTCAGTATGCAAAATTTGAGTATTTAAATCCTCTAATTTATTCATTGTTTACCGATATGACAGAAGATTCTATTTCTTTATTTTTATACTTATTCAAATGTTCTCATTGGTGCTAACAATAAAGTGCGAAAATAACTTGGTATAGGCATAGACTAATAGAAGCATTTCATGGTATATTATTCAATTTGAGATGTTTTTAATATTGATTAACGGAAAAAATAAAGATATTTTATTCAGTGGCTGAGCTTTTTTCAAGATGATCTCAGCACTTGTACCAAACAGAATAAAATGTCTTGTATTTTTTTTTCTAACCTTCTCATATATATGCCTTTATATCTTGTGCTAAGTTAATTAGTTTAAAGTTTACATTTGCTTCTTTTTAGCTTTTAATTCAGTTATATATATTCCATTTGAATTTTCATAGTTTACCAAATATCGTGTTTTACTTTTAAAAATTTTCAGGGCCTGGGTTGTCATGATCTGAAAAAAGATGAACTTTGGTAAATAATTTTTCGCAAAACTTCTGAAAACTTCTATTTGACAGGTTGGACAAAAAGAATTAAACATTTCTAAAATATCACTATTCCAAACCCGTCAACTTTTATTACTTCCGGGGAACTGTTTTCCAAGTTGTAGTGAAAGATTAATTAAAATGCAATTCCAGATAAAATTAACTTTTCACAATTGCTATGGCTTACACTTATTTTCATTTCTATAACTTGCTTTTATATATGAGAATGATTTATTTGCATTTAATTGTAGACAAAATCATATTAAATTAAATTTATAAATACAAGAATCAAAAAGAAATTTATACAATTCATTATCACTCTAAATATAAAAATGAAATACTACGGACAATCCACAGATATGACAGTTATGCTCTGAGCATACCTGCCATCCTCAACACCTTCCAATTGAAACTCATTATAGTGGTAGCGATATAACATTTGATTCAACAAATTAGAGCAACCATTGCTTTAACTATGCAAACACTTATTGGAATTCCGTAACATTTAATATGTATGGTAGAAGCGTAAAATGTGTTAATAATGCAATACGCTTTCTGTGACATTTAAGAGTTCTTCGCTATGATGATGTGTGGCATTTTATATTTTATTTTATAACCGTCGTTGAATAGCAGACCCAATGCTCAATTTCGTAGCCTTGTAATTTTGAACCCAATCCAGAAGACCATGGGAACTCTTGGATCAGGTATTGGGAGAAGTCTGGCTTCGTGGAGGACTTTCTGAGGGAACTAACCCGAAATTGCGTTATAAGGAGAGGTAAACCACAAAAAGGTCCCTCGGTTAGCCTGACGGCAAGGGGATTCTACCATATGAACCATTTACCATTTGAGGATATTTTACGTTAGTAATGTGGTCGGTGAGATGGGTGTGAAATTCGTATCTCTGAGATTCGATAATGGTTCACCTCAATGGGAGGCTAGTTACCTATCCCCTTTAAGCCATTTTCCTTAATTTAATAGATTTTTTTTCTAAAAATGAAGAAAACACAATGGAGGCGACCATCGGGAAAATTCTTAATAAAAGGTGATATCAAGCGTTTGCAGATGTATGATTTCATGTAAATTTTCAAGTGAGAGGAAATTTCAAAACTATTTTAAGTAGCGATGTGTAACCTTAGCTACCACTTATTGATTTTTTTCCAGGTAGAAGCAACTGTGATCAGGCAGTAACTTATATCTTTAAATTCCAATATATCCCATCAATTTTTATAAAACTCACAGCAATTATACTTATCTGGAGTATCATGAAAATTGAACAATTGTGCAATATTAAAATTAAACAATAATCAATTTATCGTAGTGCAAATTTAAAGGCAACAAGAATATTTCCGATAGTATATAGAATATTTATTCCGATCATATTAGAATATATATGAGAATATTTATTATATCTTTAAGTTCCAATATATCCCATCAAGTTTTATAAAACGCACGGCAACTATATTTATCCGGAGTAACATGAAAATAGAACAATTGTGCAAAATAAAAATTAAACAATAATCAATTTATCTCAGTGAAAATTCAAATGTACCAAGAATATTTCCGATTGACTAATCAAGAAAATAATAAAAATAATTATATACAATATTTATCTTTTAGTCAATTAACTATTTCAAGCGAATCATTAAAGAAATATTCATGTACTATTTCATGTACACAATTCAATTATATACTTCATGTAATAGTCATGTGCATAAGCATGAACTTATATTAAAACAGTCAACATTTCAACACAAATTAAAAGAACTAAAGGTAGGTTTAATTTTTTTTTATTTAAAATGATATTTTACTCTCTACTCGAGAAAGATAGCGTTAAAGGTGAGTTTAAATTTCTTATCATGCATGTTTCTCCATTAAATATGTGCAATTTATTGAAAAAATTTCTTCAATTTTTATAATACAGAGGTATGTATTTTTTTCCCCACAAATTGTTCGAACTATACGAAATCAAACTTATTATTATATTATTCATATGTTGCACTTTAACTCTGTAGATTGTTCTTTTTAATTCAGATTTAGTGACCTAACTAACCTTTTACCTTTCATTTACATTTTCAGTCATACTGCTCGATTATTTGCTTGCAATACAGTAATGCTTGAAATGTATCTATTATATTTTTGTCATCATCATTAAGATATAGCTGAGTGTATGACACTTTTCGTTGTTTTTTTTTAATGTCATGTATTACTAGTATTTATTTTTAGCAAATTGTACACTGTAATTTTTTAATGAACAGTTAAAGGACTTATATAAAAAATGTGTGATTTTCTTCTAAGTTTCATATTTTTTTCGCAAAGTTTATAAACTTAGGTAGTTATTAAATCATAACGTTATGAAGATTTTTATGTGCAGAGCGTAGCCGTTTCATGTAAATTACCAAACACCGTCTAGACGTTTAAATTGTTTAAACAAAATTGTTCGAAACATTATCCTAAGTTTTGAAGTAGATTACAAAAATTTACAACATAGAGCACTATTATCTGAGGAAAACAATGTTAAAAGAAAACAACATTGTTTATGGAAAAAACGTGGCAAAGTCTGAGTGCACATACTTCATATAATGGTCGTACATGCTGCAGAGAACATTATTTACTTTCTTATCAGGAGCAAATAAGTTGACGAATTCCGCAGTTTATTTTTAAAACTTAGCCAAAGAAACTGCTAAACAGAAAGCAGAAAACCATAATTTTCCGACTTCGTCCATTTTTGTAATTAAATTCTTGAATTGATAGAGTGTAGCTATTACCTGAAAATTACCATAGTCAAGGAGTTCAAATTGTTAAAACACAGTTGTCTAAATCATTATTCAAAGTTTTAAAGTAGATTATTAACATTTCCAGCAGAGAGCACTGTTATCAGAGGAAAACAATTAAACAACGTTCAAGGAAGACCCCATTGTTTACGGAAAAAACGTGACAAAATCTGAGTGTATTTCCCTTATCTAATTGTCGTACGTGTAGCGGAAAGCATAGTTTTATGTTTTTTTCTTGTCAAAAGCGAACAATATGGCGAAATTTGCTACTTATATTGAAAATATATGAAAAAACTCTTGTTTACTAAGCAGAACGCAGAGAACCATAACTTTCCCACTCCTTCCATTTTTGTAATTAAATTTTTAAATTGTGGTTCATTTCGGACAATCAGTAAATTGGATAAGATTTTTAGTCGCCATTTCGGAGTTTATTAAACTATTCTATTTTATACGGAACAAACAAACGTTCAAAAATTTAGCTTGTTTTCTGTCACAAACTTACTTATAAATCAAAACTTTTTAACTTAAATTTGGTTGATATTGCAAAGTAAAAAGAGAAAATATAAAACAGTCCCATTAAACTCAATAAAAAATTATATATTTCAGAACAGTATATTGCGTAAATTTGCACTTTATTTTAGGTATCTAGTTGTTACACTTGATTATGTAGAAATATTCTTCGTGATTTAGAAATTTTTAAAACTTGATATAACAAAATCTGCTCAAAATTTACTCTTTTAGATCTAAATATCATTAAATATTATAAAATGTTTTGTTCTAAAATAGATATAAATGGATAATTTGAAATTAGAAAGTACCTTAATATTTAGAAATCAATAATCATATTCTAGTTCTTAGTGTTATGTAAAAGTTATTTTTAATTTCAAATATTAGTAACTAATATTAAATCTTCATTTTAACAGTTCCTTATCTAGGTCCTGGACAAGATGGCCCAAAAATTGAAGGTACCAGTCCAAGGTATGAAATTGGAGACTTAGTAGATGTTAATTGCACATCCGCTCCAGCTAGGAGTAATGCTCTTCTTAAATGGTTTATAAACGATAAGGAAGTAAGAAAATTTTTTATTCCTTTCATAATATTTGTAATTAACTTACTATATTCACTAATTTAATTTTTTCCTATGTTGTAATCATGGTGTTACCACAAAAGTTGTATTGTATTTTCCTTTGAGCTAAATAGTTATTAACCCTTTGCACTCGAAGCTCTTTCAGCTGTTAAAAAAATGAAAGCAACCACTACAATTACGAAAGATTTTTTTACAAACTTGCCTTATAGTAAATACCCATCACCCCCTACATCAAAAAGCCTCCACACGGTCTTTTACAAGTAGTCCGCGCAGAAAGTGAACCAGTTGTGCGCATGAACCCAAAACCTTTCATAAAAGTAATTGAGAGAAATTTATCATATATATTTGAGAATTGAATCTGTAGTGGTTGACAAGTGAATAAGGCTAACCAATAATATTCATAAATAAAACAAATTTTCAGTCATATATTTGCTACCACTTTCTTATTTTAACTAAATTTTGTATTAAATGACTCGTTCGGAAAGTGGATATCGTTTGCAGTGGTCTGATCGGACTACCTATAAAAAATCGTGTGGTGGTTTTCAGTTATAGGCAGGGGTGAAAGCGAGACGGAAAAGAGGAAAGGCTGGTAGTAAAACCATTTCAGTTATAGCTAGTTTTGGGGAGGAGTTTACTTATTCTTTTTTTAAATTTTTCAACAATATCTACTTTATCTTGGAAGAGAAGCAGATTTATATATATGCCAGAATTATAAAAGAAATCTTTATAGTTACAGATATTTAATTTTTTTCGAAAAAAATGCTGGAATGAAATGTTTTACGTACCAGGTTTTTCTCTTTTCCGTCTTGCTATATAAGGGCTTTCACCCATGGTTATAGGAGGCTATGTTTGTACCCTGCAACAATTGTGGAATTTCCGTAGTTTTAGAAAATATTTTTTGTAGTGGAAGCGCAGGTAACTACTGATATTTTGATAAATTATAATTAAAAGAATTTGTCCACGACTACATATAAATAATATAAACAAGAATAAAAAAGGTCAGTGGACTTTTTCAGGGGGTGCCAACTTTCAAAACTTTTTATACAACTTTGTTCTAGTGGTAGTTAATTTGGTGTTTTAATATATTATTATTTATTCCTGTAAACTTATTTTCCACTCCACTGTATACAATATAATATCAAATGAACTGAATATTATATAAAAATTATAGCTTATTAATATAATAACAGTTATAAAATAAATAAATTATTATAAAAAAAAGGCATGATCTTTCAAATTTTATGCTAGCAGTTTTCCATGTAAAATTTTCCGAAATATTTTCTGGTGAAAGAAGAATTGTTTACTTAGATTTAGTATGGAAGTGATTCCATTATTTTACTATCGTTTCAAAGTATTTTCATCCTTTTTTTTCAATTATACTTAAATGAAAAATGCTGGGATTTAAAATAAATGCGATTATGTGATTAATCAGTGTGTCTACAATCTGTAATAATTTCAATTATGCACATTTTGATCTAGTTTAAAATGATCAAAAGCTTTTATCATAGCATAATTTTTTCAAAATCACGATTTTATTTTTTTTAAAAAAAACATCTTCTTCATAGACTTGCCACTTTTCAATTAAATAAAATTATAACTTCGATTTAATTCATGGATAAATTTATAATTATTTGATGAGTTGACTATTTTCTCCTTTAATTAAAATAAATTTAATAAAGCATCTTTAAAAAATGTATTTCCTTAACTCAATACAAGATTGAACATAAAGGAAGTATTTTTAAAAGTTTTAAAATTAGAAAATAAATATTTCTAAAATTGAGGACAAGGGTTTAATGCAAATTTGAGTAATTTATTTTAAATTTTTAAAGTCAAGCTATTCAATAGGTATATAAAGAATTTTTTAAAAAAATAATTCTAACCATTTCGATAACAGTGGAACATAATAATTAAATGATACCAAAAACACTAAATTCACTTATTCAATAAGATGTGCATTTCATCTATTAAAACCTAAAACAGGTTGAAAGGAGAAAAAAAAACAAATTTTAAATGAAATATGCACAAAGTCTTATAAAAGCAAATTAAAACTACAATATATATTGTTTTATTTGTCAAATATATTTTATATTGTTATAAGTTTTATTAATTATTACAATTTAAATTATTTAATTATGATTTAGAAAGTTTCTAACATAGTTTAATCTTGAGGAAATATTTTCAAAGTTTAATGCTAAATCAATGAAATTAAAATGAAAAAGATGTCGTACAAAAAAAAGTTATGATAAACATATTTAAATAATATGTGAAGAATCATAAAAATGCTACAAAATTGATATCCAAATATTAATTTTAATAATCAGCAAACATTTTTTCAAATGAAAGCAAATATTTAATCCTATCAAAATAAAAGATTTCCATTAAAAATAAAAGTTGTAAGTAAAGAATTACAATATTTATAATTTCAATTATTCTAAAATGGTTTGTATTGTTCAAAATAGTTAAAAATAATTAAATATAATCTATGTTAACTAAAATATGAGCATTTCCGCCTTAGGGTTTATATTAAATGAACAAAGGATAGTTTAAAACCAACAAAGACAGAATCTTTAAATTAATTGAAAACATGAATTAAGGTCAGTAAAATCAATGTTTACATTAAAGTCTGGAGACAGTTTGACTAAGAAATTGTCTGGTGTTTTATTTAATTTACACACTTAAGTTTTCTTTTTTTTACATGCAGTTATTTAAACATAGATGCATAAAATTGTTGAATTGTTTTGCATTTATTGCGGCTTAAAGTTACTTTAATACAAGCATTTATTGAAGGATTCTTAAGAATTGTCAACACCAAAAAGTAACAAAGACAGTTTACTTTCTCTGAAAACATTGTAGGAATGAAATATTCTTTCTACATGTCTTTTATCTAATCAAGATAAAGTAACAGATTTGTGATAGTGATACTTAGCAGTATTAATATCAAATTCGCTTTTGTTTGGCTCTCTCTGTAGTCAGACTTAATATGTCAGACTAATATTAAAAAAAATTCTGCGAACACAAAATCACAATTAAAAAATTTTCTTCACGCATTAATTAACTCCTGCAACTAGTTTCAACTCTTTTGTCGCCACCTCAATTTGGGAAATTCGTTTGAAAATTTGGCGAAATTCGTTTTAACTTTTTTAAAAATGTTGCTCCAAAGAGATGAGTTATGCGCGAAAATACTTTTTAAATAATTGAAAAAATGCCTGAAATTTGAGCAAAAAAAATGTGGGAAGGATTTATTTACAGAATGTTATCAACATTTTTGGTAAAAATATTGATGCGATATTTCGTTTAGTTATTTGAATCGCGTAAATACGAATCTCGATATTTGATTTTTAAAATCACGCGAGTATGAATTCCGATGTATAAATATATATATATATATTNTCGACTATTTATCTTTATATTTTTTATATATATATATATATATATATATATATACATACATAACTAAACGTATCAACGTATCGCATTGTAATCTTAAATGTATTATTGTTTTCCTCCTACCCCGCCCTACGCATCAGAAATGCAGAAATGTGGAGGAACACTTACATTTTTCTCGAGTGAATTTAAAAAATCCTGATGACGAAAGTATTATGAAATTGCATAAAAATTGTAACTTGTAGAGAGTAATCAATTGTAGATCTGAAATCAGCGATGTAAAGATATCTAAGATCCATTCAACAATATTATTCAACGGAAAATAATAATGATAAGAAATCCCCTGTGTTACAAACCATTATATAATATTAGTGATTATTGTATGATCATGATATTGCCCACTTACCATTTATGCGAAAATACGTCAATAGATTTAATAGTTTACAAGCTGTGATTGTTTGGAAAAAAATATCAAAATTAAAATTTGCACTCCTTTTACACTAAATCACTCTGAATTTTAAATTATTACTTTTATCGACATACTCTAGGTTTAGTTTGATTTAGATTTAAAAGCACATAGGAAGCAAAATTTAACTTGCATAGTCAAAAATATTAGGTGCAAAAATTGGTGGAAATTAATAAATTTTATTTTTTCTTCTAAAGTGTGTATTCTGAAACCCTTTCTGATTTATCAACTATCTGTCTCATTAATTTTTTTTGCCTTTCATTTTCGATTGAGCTTAACCTTTCTGGGACGAGTGATTTTTGACAGGCTTATTTTTGCTTTCACTTTAAATCTGACACATCCAATCCATGTTTGTTAAAAGTATAACTATATAATTTTTAATTTGAAATAAGTTGAGCCGTGATGGCTCAGAGGATGGAGCGTTCGCCTTCGAATGATGTGAGCCGGGCTCGAATCCCATCAATGGCTGGTCGATACGAATTCCGCATCTAGTTTGCACCGATCACATTGTTGACGTAAAATATCCTCAGTGGTAGACGGATCATGGGTTAGAGGCCCCTTGCCGTCAGGTTGACCGTGGGAAATTTTAGTGGTTTTCCCCCTCCATGTGACGCAAATGAGGGTTAGTTGAATCAAAAAGTCCTCCAGGATTGCAAATTTCTCTCAATACTTGATCCAGAAGTTCCCTCGTCTTCTGGATTGAGTTCAAAACTATGAGGGGCTTGAGTCTTTGTATTGGTAGTTGAATATTATTAGTCGTAAACTCAAAGAATTGGGTGTATTGTTCAACTATGGTTATAGAAAAAAATTAAAAAATAATTCATCAAAAAGTTCCCATAACAAATCAATACCTCAGGGGGATCTGATCCAGGAGTTCCCTTTTCTTCTGGATTAGGATCAATATTACAAGGATACGGAGTTGAAAAATGGTAGTCGTAAACTCACAGTTCACGTAGATAAAGGGTATCCCATAAATATTGGCACGAATTTTACGGATAGACAGGGCGCATCATGAGGATTGAGAATTGCATAGCAAGCATTGGTCGGAAACACAGTCCTGTGGTAAGTTAATTTTTGGAATAAAAAGTGGATAGTTTTCTCAAACAGTTTTCTGTAACCAAGATATTTCAAT